GGCTACTTAATCGTAGCGCCATGTCTAGAAAATAATATGGATACACGACAGAAACGAATGATAAATGCAGATATTAAGAATCGCTAACGACGATAACACTACGACATGAACCAGGCATCAAAAATATTATCATTATCAGTGAAACTTTAAAAATATCACAAGATATACCACCTCAGGTCAATGGTCGAAACCAATTTTAGCTGATTGTAAGGGAAAATGCAAATAGAAGTGACCTTCTTCAAAAGATTTATTCAAAACATCACACAAAAATCACAAACATTTTGAAAGGTTCCAAAATATTTACATAGGGTCAAAACTGCCATATTAACATACGGCCAAATAATACGATTCCGGTGGAGTTGATCTCGTAAGACGGCGTTTGAATCTGAGCCTTCAGCTTCGGTAAATCTTCTTCAATCAAGCAGATGATCGCTTCAAGAGACAGCACGGCCTCTTACAGTCAAATTACAGGCATCCTTATTGAGCTGTGGTGGTGATCGGTACGGTCGGTGCATTCCACCGCTTCAAAAACAACCCCTGAATCAGTTGGCTCTTGATTACTTACTTCAGTGAGAGTACTTGAATCAGGTTGCTTGTTTTGTCTAAAAAGTTTGATCATGCATTATGATCAAAATATCTGTCAGGAGGAAATATATCTGCCTGTCGCTTAAACAGCACTGAATCATTCGGGCTCACTACTGACCTAACCTTTCACTGTCGGACTGCGTTTGATGCAGTTGAGGTTGAGTGGTGTGCGTGACCTCTGACCTCTGAGAGCAGCTCAGCTTCCCGCCAGGATGCTCCTCCGGATTCTCGTAATGGATTCTTCTCACAAACTTGCTCAGAGTCTTGGCAGTAGTCCTGATAGTAGTGAGCGTCGTCCATGAGGCCACATCGCTGCAGTCGTTCACTCAACAGCAGCTGATCATGACTGGTTCGTCGTCGTTCGATCTCGCATTCCAATTGCCCATCGGCAATCTCTTGCTCATGCTTGCGAACAGCAGCAGCAGCCTCCTGAATGTGATCGAAGTGTGTTCCTTTCGGTGATCATCAACAAAGTGATCACCGATGATCTGATCAGATCAGAGTGCTGCTGTCTGCTGATCATGAAAGTGCAACTGATCTGATCGTTTGATAGGAGGCAATTTTATGCTTTTGGTTAACGAATTCAAGCATTCAAAAATCAAAAATTCAAATCACTGAATTCAGGCTGAAATTTAAATTTAAAAAAAACCACAAAAAGCAGTGTAAGAGCATTGGAGTACTGCTGCGGAAATTTTTGTAAAATTGCTCACCGGACGGAAAAATCGCGCAAAAGTTGGCCGCTCATTTACGGAATGTGCTCGATTTCGACGGGAAATCGCCACCGCGTTTCGCTGCTCTCTTCGAGCCTCAGGTGAATGA